CATTACGTGTTTGTCGACGTGTATGTTATATATACCATGTTAAATAGGCAGGCTGAAATTCAATTATTGTTGTATCACTTACAAACACAAAACTCTGTGTGGTGAAGTTGTTGGCTTTGTCCTGCAGAAACAGGGGATTGAACCATTCGAACAGGGTGTGATACACGCCGAACTTCATGCTGGTCTTGCTCTTGATTGCACTTGCCAGCTCACCTGTGACACAATCAGTACGAGAGTTTGCTTAATGCCGCAGTGATCAATTATACAACCATCCTCGTGTTCAAAATATAACACGGCAAAACTGCATTTTTGTCACAGTATTTATCATGTTTATGTGGGTAGAATGAACTGTATATAATCTTTTTTATGACAGACATGCAAGTGAGTGAGTGAGTGAGCATGGTTTTTCTCTGCTTTCAGCAATATTCCAGCAACATCGCTGTGTTGGACACCAGAAATGGGCTTCACACATTGTACCCATGTGGAGATTTGCACCCGGGTCTTCAGCGTGATGAGCTAAGGCTTTAACCACTAGGATACCCCACCTCCCCAGGCATGCAAGTGATAACTCATAATAATTTTCACTAATATTTTACGAATTACTATTGCATTTTCTTACCAACGAGGTCCCGGCTTGGGCCTACAGCCTGGGAGTTCCAGTTGAAGGACGTCTTGCAGGGCCAGTTGCAGAAGCCTTCATGGTGCTTGCTCACAAATACAACATATCTGAAATAGGCAACAAACAGAAATCATGAAAGTCCATTCACACATACTGTTATTTGGTTCAAGTGAGTGAGTGAGTTTAGTTTTACGCCACACTCAGCAATAGTTACACTGCGGTGGTCTGTAAATAAGAGTCTGGACCAGACAATCCAGTGATCAAAAGCATGTGCATCGATCTGCGCAACTGGGAACCGATGACATGTGTCAACCAAGTCAGCGAGCCTGACCACCCGATCCCGTTAGTCGCCTCTTACGACAAGCATAGGTTACTGAAGACCAATATCCCAACCCATACCTTCATTTGTATATTTGGTTCAAGATGGAAGTGGTCTTAATGGTCTGTCAATGTGTCACAGGTTATCAATGTATTGATCCAAATTTACACTTAATGATGCATTACGCATTGTGGCTACCCATGTATTGATTCATCCATTACCTATGAATTGTCAACATTAACTGCCTTGCTCCTAGCTGAAGTTTAACTTATACTGTTATGTATCAAAGGCACTTGATCTATTTCTAATCAAAATTACATAATCTACTATTCAGCATTTAAATATAATCTTTTTGTTATACTCTCAAAAAAAAAAGAAATATATGCACAAAAAGGCACTCTCTATTCAAAACCAGTATGTTGAAAATATTTACACTGTTTTAGATAAATCATCATGTTTGTTTACCTAACCATACATTCTACTCTAAATCCAACAAGCTAATTCAGTACACTATATGGGGAATGTTTTAACACCACTGCAGGTACTAACATGATTAAGACAATCTTAGATACCATTTAGAGGTACACTGAGAATAGCAACAGTCAGAACAGCAACACAGAACATGGCAACAATGTTTATAACACTCCCTAATCTAAAACAGAAATACCTTCTCATAAAAAGGACAAAATACATTTTGCTTCAAACAATTACACAAAGCTGCAAAATATTTATACCTAATTCTATTTTAAAGCTTGGTCGATTTTCATCAAATGAAATCTATGAGGTGTTCACCATACTGTTATGGATGGGTCCTAGTCAAAAGGGCCGAAAAACGAAAATGTCATAAGGGCTGCAAGAAAGTCAAAAGGGCCTCAGAACCCCTAGTCAAAAGGGCCACATATACAAAAAATAATAATAGCATCTGTTTTTTAAAAGTAAATATATAAAAGGTTATACATCTATACAATATATATTTAATGTAGACTAGTTCTGTTTTTAATAGATATTTTTTTCAATGTTAGAAAGAAAATGATGACTTGAAAGAATAGATGTATGTAATGGTTTTTTATTTCATTTAAGTAACAAAACACTTGTCATTTATAATTATGACAAACACTTTGGCAGAGAAATGCATTTAACATTAGTACCACAATACTAAAATAGTACACGAAAACACATATACACAATATATCCCTTTGATGCCATATTTGTGTTTTGACAATCATGTAAGCTGTCACTAATCCCTAAGATGTCTTGTTTTTTGTGCTCTTCAGTGAATACTGTCAGAATATTTTAGAGTATTGTTTTCATTGTTACTAAACCTTACAATTGTCATTGAGTTGACTCTGTGTCAATGTGTGACTATAAATCATGGTGAGGTGAGGTGAAATTGGATTTAGCGTCGTGCTTGAGAATATTTCGCTCATATCACGAAGTGCATGTGTGTGTATGTGTATGTGCGGCTGCTTGTACTAGCCCAGACTTAAGCTGGTTTTATAGTGCTAGCACACTTAGATACCATGCCGCAGTGAAGCATGAATACCCTACTCAGACACATTATACTGACTCCGAGCCGACCAGCGCCAGGCAGGGACCAACAAGTACCATATTTTAAAGTCTTTTGGTATGATGCGGTCGGGGATCGAACCCGCGACCTTCCTCTCGGGCGGATATAAAATCATGGACAGACTTGTTTTTTTATATCATTTCCCTCTACTATGTGTGTGTGAAGTGTTTGAAAACAGTGAGGAAGAACCAGCAAGTGTGATTGTGAACTGTGAAAAGCCAGCAGGACCCAGGAGGAGGTGTTTGCTGAACTAGTATGCATAAAATATACAATGTATAGATGTATTTAACCTTTTACAATATTACACTTTTTAAAAAAGATGCTATTATTACTTTTTGGTATATGGGGCCCTTTTGACTAGGGGTTTGCGGCCCTTTTAACTTTCTTGTGGCCCTTTTGACTTTTCCGTTTTGCGGCCCTTTTGTCATGCGGACATTTTTGACCTGTTCCCTTATGGATAAAGACGTTAGAAAAATTAGAAAAGGATTTCAGTCTGAAAATATTCTAAAAAATCACAGGATGGGTTGAAACATATATGAATCCTGAACATGTTATGCTTTGTATTAATATGTCTGGAATACTTTCAACTAAAAGAGTGAGTGAGTTTAGTTTTACGCCGCTTTTAGCAATATTCCATCAAATATCACAGCGGGGGACACCAGAAATGGGTTTCACACATTGTGCCCATGTGGGGAATCGAAACCAGGTCTTCAGTGTGACGAGCGAATGCTTTAACCACTAGGCTACTCCCACCGACCCCCATATATTAGCGTACACACAGTCAGTATGTCGCATCAGGGATACTCAACAACAGGGCCCCCTTATATAGTAAAAGCAGAACAATATACTGCATGGTTTTGAAGCCGGCAGTTCAATGTAACATTAAGGATGGAGCGAGTACAGTGTGAGTGCACGTCTGACATGTAGTGATGAACGCGTGAAGCGGCATTATCAGTGTTACTATCAGTGCACGGTAACTGTGGTTACGTAATAATACACATGGATATTTACTTGGCTCCAGCATCTTCAAATATGGACGCCCACTCTTCAGCGTTGTAAAACTCGGCCGTGAATTCCCGAGCAAAGTCGGCGTACGTGAAGTCGGGAGGATAATTTTCTTGCATAAAGAATGTTATTGCGGGTAAGGGTTGTCCTTTCCAGTTCCACCAAAACCATTCGGAAGAATAACTGGGCACTGAAAACACACCCCAGTGAATAAATATTCCAAGTTTGGCTTCATCATACCACGACGGGAGAGGTCGAGTGTCCAGGGAGTCCCAGTTAGGTTCATATCGTTTACTGACACATGGAGAAAACTCTGAAAAACACACGAGAAAAAACAAGATCCTTAGTAAACACCGCAGCGTCGTTGAGGACGCCATCTTGTAAGCATGTGACTTCTTCCTCGTCATGTGATCAAGTGGTCACGTGTGTTTACAAATTTCCCTATGCTGGAATCCCAGTGAGGTCAACGTATTTATTCAATATAAATATATGATTGTAGTTTTCGTTTGGGGTTTGTGAGTGATTACGGTTTTACGCCGCATTTAGCATTATTCCAGTTCCCCCAATTTCCAGCAATATCTATCACAGAGGGGGAATGGGTTACCCCTTGCATGAACTACGATGTACAGTAGTTGGCCATTAGTGAAATTAATGCAAGAATAATGTTCATAAATTTCGTTTCCGTCGAATTGCTTTCAATACTTATTTACCAGCTGGGAAATCATCTCAGCTACATACACATAATTTCCATTCAATGTTCCGATGATTATTGAGAAAACTGCAACTATTTAAACAACATATATAGACGTACCAATCAGGTTTATCATGGCTGTCTATGGGATAGATTAAACTTAAGTTGCACTTATGGTGCTTAATCAGGTGTCATTCGATGGCTTTTTGGAAGTGAGGTGGAGTGGTGTGTGTCTTTTTATTCGTTTTATTCTATTTTATTTTCAAAGCAATCCAAGTTTAATCAAATAATATTCACTTCATTCAAACTTTTCAAGATTATTGGCAAGTTTACAAATTAACGTCGATCGATCAGCTTCATTTTCTTCAATTTGGGCCCTCGTCGGTAATACTTTATCCCCGTCCTTCCGCTAAAAACTGGCTAAAATCTGCACGACGAAGACTCAACCAATATTGTCAGTTGGTGGGGGTGTCGGGGGGGGGGTGATTGTAAGCTGGTACCCGGCTTTCTATGCGCTTTGTGAAGAGACGGAACCCAGCTTCAGATAACCGGAGCTAGCAGAAATAGCCACGAATAGTATCCAAGCTCTACACAGAGCTGTTTCCGAGCCCTATCGTATTGTGCACAACCAAAGAAATAAAATAGCTGTGCCACAAAGCTTAGCTTCAAAATCACTTCTAAGAGAATTGGACGGCTCCTTACATTTGGTGCTACTGTTTAATAGGCCATACAAATATATTTATAACAGAAAATATTATGTTTTGGCATTCAAACAAAGATTCATCACTTCGCATAATATTTATTCGAAACTAAACAAAGGAACCACTATCGTAAATAGAAAATGGCGGTAGCCACAGCATCGGGAATACCATCGAAGTCATGGCAGCCTGCACAGTGTACTCTGGAAACAACGTATGTCTGTGGCGGCTTATAAAATGAATCTAACACTAACGGTTTATCTACACAATTCACATCGATTAATTTGTTTAATCACGTGGGATAGCAAGAAAGGACAACAGAGTGGAGTGCCGGTTGAAAAACACATGTACACACGACCCTTTAGACAGAGTTGTCTCCACCTGATCGGTGTGCTTTGCTCTCATTATTACAGTCATGTGTTGGAGGAAATTTTGTTGTTGTTTAAAACATATTTTTATAGATGCGTACACAAAACAGCTGTGTTTGTCAATTTATCAGGAGGAGTATACCTGGGCAGTTGATTTTCACGCAGCTCAACATTATATCCACGAACCTTCAATTTATAAGTTTGCTTGTTGTGACCATGTTATTTGTGTTCCAGCATGGGGACCATCTTTGTTGAACTGTACTGGAAACATGCTCCAAACACTTGCAGGAACTTTGCCGAATTGTGTCGGCGTGGCTACTATAATAGCATCAAGTTCCATCGAATCATCTCCAACTTCATGATACAAGGAGGGGATCCCACAGGCACAGGTACAGGGATTTATGTCAGCTGACCAGGCCCTGACCATGGTCAGGGTGGTTTCTCTTGGGATAGTTCATATGAATAAACTCGTATTCCAGTCGAGCACACCTTGGTATAGTGCAAAGTCGTCTAGTTATATGCTGGACTACTGTTGGGAAAGAGTTCCTTACGTACCCCCCACGTAAGGAACTCTTACCTTTCTTTAAACAGTAGAGGATGTAATGTGTAAGCGAGATGGTCCCCCATTACACGTACAAGATTCGCATGACTGCCTGACCACAGACAGGGGAATACTTCATGTCACACATGAACTTGTCTGAAAGTGTTAGTAATGAAAATAATGAAACAAAATTTGGTATAGTCATTGATATTTGTTCAAGTTATTGAATGACATAAATGAAAACATTAAACAATTGATGAGCAAACATTGGTCGAATACAAACAAGAGGAGAAGTATGAAATGCATTCTTTCTCAATATCTACTGTTTCTTCATGTAAATGACCATGACAAGGAAATATACTACTCAAATGCTACTAGTCCACAGCTCATTTCTGGCTGGACTTTAGTAGAATACAACTAGTCCTCCTGTATCTTGGCCAGCCTCAGAGTAAGACACTATGTTTCTATCCCTGCATAATGACATGCAAATTTAATGTGTTAATTAGCAAAAAACTTTTGTCATTATTGTATTTTATTTTTGTCTGCAACACAAACAAACCTTGAAACCCTGAAACAAATGGTTCAGCCATATTAATTATCAATTTTCATATGATATGTACATCATTTTGTCAGCAACAAATATGTGAAAACTGATATACAGAGTAACAGGAATAGAAAACAAATAACACATTACCATGGTTACAAGTGATTGGAATCTGTATCTAATCATTTGTCAATGGAATCCATTACTGGAACAAATACTCAAGATGGGTAAGAACTGCTGTTAAAACAGACCAACATCCATAATGATCCATTGTGAATGTGATGGAATTACTGAGGTTTGATGCTTCAGCAATATTCTAGCTATATGACAACAGCCAGTAAACAACCAGATGAGACAATCCAGTGATTGATGTACCATGGCCTATGCCTTTCAGCTTTGTGGACTTCATGTCAGCATGGAGACCCGTGAAGATCCCGGTTACAATAGATCTTCAGTAACCCATGATTGTCGTAAGAGGCGACTAATGGGATAAAGGGGTCAGGGTCACTGACTTAGTTGACACGTCATCGTATCCCAATTGCGGAGGCCGATGCTCATGCTGTTGATTACGGGATTGTCTGGTCCAGACTAGATTATTTGATTTATAGACCACCGCCAGATAATTGGAATATTGCTGAGTGCGGCGTAAAACTAAACTCACACACTCATGTCAGCTGGACATGGACCTGATGATTCCATGGACACAGCCAGCTGAAGAGAAACCTAACATAGATATGCTATTTAAAAGATATTTCTGCTTTTCTTTTCAGGCCGAGGTGGGGCATCCATATATGGAAAATTCTTTGAAGATGAAATATCTGATGAACTTAAACATGCAGGTATGAATATTCATATTATGCACACGATTATTGAGCATTAATGAAGTAACAATAGTTAGGAATGAATGCCTGAATTTAGAAAAAACTACTTTTAATGCATTTGGTAGTCATTGTGAATATGGAATGTTAAGAAAAATGATGTTAGTTAAGTGAACAGTCACATATACTGACAAAGACTTTTCATCAGTGTAACACAAGCAAGGAGGCTGTCAGTAATTATCATTACAGTATAAGACTTAAGCATGTATTGATTGACTGGGTAACTTTACAATATTGAACAAACTGGCATTTCCATTCACAGGAGCTGGTGTATTATCCATGGCCAACAGTGGTCCGGATTCCAACGGCAGTCAGTTCTTCATCTCCTTGGCTCCAACACAGTGGCTGGATGGAAAACATGCCATCTTTGGTCGAGTGTCTGGCGGCATGCAGGTCGTCCATCGTTATCGGCATGGTGGAGACGGATGAGAATGACAGACCAATGGATGATATAAAGATTGTGAAAGCTTTCATCACACCTTCATGAGACTGTGTCGACAATTTAGATGGAGGATTGGACCATGAATCCTTGGTCCTTTTGAAGAAACTCTCTGCCATATAAACTGTTGAACCAATCATCTGTTTCACTAAGTATCAGTTGATATCTTTTACAGGTGGCATAATGGGGAGAATGTTTGTACCAGACCAATTCCAGGATATGTTCTCATAATGAGTAAAGTTGTGAGACCAGCCCTAGGTGTGGGCTGGTTACATTTCATCCTACTATGCTGTTTAGCTTGTTCAAACAGGAGTAATCTCCAAATTCCATACATAACTTGTGACAGCAGTGAGAGCTCTAAGTAAGAACTTCCTACTTAAGATCAGTTTGAATGTATTATTTTGTACACTGGTAGACTAAGGGGAAAATTGAGATGTATCTTTAAGAAAGCGCTCCTCTGCTAAGGGCTTGGACTGTTTCTGTTTGGAACCTTTTGGTTAATAAAGGTCAGAGTTTGACATATTTTAAAGCTGTGACAGGTCTGAGAGATTTTTAACTGTGCATGTTTTATTGTGTCCTCATTTGTCAAGGTCTGCCAAACTAGGTCAAACACATGTCATCCAATCAGCATGAACATACCATGTATCAAATATCATGTTTTTATTCATTTTGGAACAGAAAATAAATTTTTGTAAATAAACATTTATTTGGATTGTCAATGTATATTACCAGTAACCAAAGGAAGCTAAGGACCATCTTATTTTTTCATATCAAGGTAGTTAATTTGTCCTGACATGTGATATGTAACTATGTAACATATAGTATTATGTAATTTGAAAGAATCTAATGGTTGTAAATTTCTTTTGTGTAGTATATAAGGTAAAACATTCAACAATAGGACTCGGTACTCCTCAATCGCTCTTCAATGTGCTTCGCTGGGTGTCCATCGATGACCAAAACCTTTATGACTGCTCTGTACTCAAGCTTATACATTTCTGCCGTTTCATTAGGGGTACACGTGAGTAGATGTCACGTGACCGGAAACAAGCGACATGTGCATGTCAATATTATGTTTATGTGAATGAATTCATCATATACTCCCCATCAAAGGTTTAGACTCCCTAGTGTACATGTAGCCACTTACTTCAGGCAACTGTTCTAAACTAAATTTTGCAAAATATTCCATACTGTTTAAAAGTGCTGTTTATGCATGAACTGATGAATTAAAAATATTGTAAAACAAATTCATAAAGGTGCAAAAGATTATTGTCATGCGTTCAATAAATGATGAAACTTAAAAATGGCTACTTCTTATCAAAACTTTACACCAAAACGCTGCTGTTCACATGCACGATATTTGCATATACTTTTCAGCAGTTTGATGCATGATCCTCGTGATCCTTGTGCAATTAATCTGCATAAGGTTTGCAGTTGTTTCCCCCAAGTTAGTGGAGAAATTGATCTTCGTTGTAATCAAATATACATACATAAAGTATATGTAGTGAATGTTTTAAGTGAGTCTAAATGTTTGATAACCCCACACTACTATCATACATTGTATGCGACGTCGAGATATTATGCAAATGTGTAGAGAACGTGCTTGTAACATGACAAAACCCAAGCCCACTCCACGCCCCGACCGCTGTTTCACTTTCACCCCAGTGGGACCGCCCGTTTTGTTAATGATTGACATAAAGACGATCATTTTTGGGGCACATTTTAGATCTGACCATTGTGACTTTTTTAAGGGTCTAACATTCTAGGCAACATGCTTGCCAATTGCTGTTACCTGTTGCTTTCCCAAGTTAAAACTAAATTGTTAACTAAGAATTAGTCCAGAAGTTTAGTTAAAATCAGTTTAGTTAAAACTAAATTGTTAACCGAGAATTACTCTAGAAGTTTAGTTAAAATCAGTTTAGTTAAAACTAAATTGTTAACCGAGAATTACTCCAGACGTTTAGTAAATATCAGTTTAGTTGAAACCAGATTGTTAACCGAGAATTAGTCTAGAAGTTTAGTTAAAATCAGTTTAGTTAAAACTAAATTGTTAACCGAGAATTAGTCAGAAGTTTAGTTAAAATCAGTTTAGTTAAAACTAAATTGTTAACCGAGAATTAGTCTAGAAGTTTAGTTAAAATCAGTTTAGTTAAAACTAAATTGTTAACCGAGAAAGAACTCGGTGTGACAGCAACAGAGTTATGTGATGTGATTCAGAAATCAATATAAAGGTATCACTGTGGCAGTACAAATTCAGACGTAATACAATACACGAGCGGTGTACCTAAGAAGGTCCGGGTTAGACTGAATCTTCAGTAGCCCATGCTTGTCGTAAGAGGCGACTAACGGGATCGGGTGGTGAGACTCGCTTACTTGGTTGACACATGTCATCGGTTCCCAATTGCGTAGATCGATGCTCATGCTTTTGATCACTGGGTTTGTCTGGTCCAGACCCGATTATTTACAGACCGCCGCCATATAGCTGGAATATTGCAGAGTGCGGCGTTAAACAACAAACCAACATGAGCAGTGATTATAGCAATATATACAATGGTAATATTCATCTGTCAACAACAGTAATCCAACTTGGAAGCAGAGTTTGATCATCAAACACATTGTTGGTGTCCTTGTGGCGTCATATTTAATGTGAAATAAAAGACAAGAGTTAACTCCCCTTATGTATACTTTTTGAGGAAAAAGCTCCTTGAAGCATTTACAAGATCATTCTGTCTGAATCTAGTACAAACATAGCACACTACTGCCCCTTACTGAATCCCCAGGTACCATGTATAGCAGAGAGTGAGTATTGTGTTTACGCCACGTTTTGCAATATTCCAGCAATATCACGGCGGGGGACACCAAACACACTGTACCCATGAGGGGAATCGAACCCGGGTCTTCGGCGTTGCGAGCGAACGCTTTAACCATTAGGCTACCCCACCGGCCCCGTGTATAATACACAGTTGATACATTGCTGCACGATGTTAAACACAGTCTCGTATTTTGAAGAGATGGCTTTCTTTAAATATTGACTTTGATATGTTTAGCTTTTAGCCTCCCCAATCCCCTTCCAGTAGATAAACAAACGAACATATATATAAATATTTTTATTCGCCGGCTTAGCACTTTTATAGTGAAGTGCAATATAATCATGATTATCGTTACTCGGTGACATTTGTCACAATAAAAGAGGGCGGTGGGGTAGCCTAATGGTTAAAGCGTTCGCCCGTCACGCCGAAGACCCATGGACCCGTACAATTAATGTGTGAAGCCCATTTCTGGTGTCCCCCCGTCATGATATTGCTGGAATACTGGTAAAAAAAGGCGTAAAACTAAACTCACTCACTCACAATAAAAGAAAATTCACGAACAACAACTGTTTGTATTTCCTTACGATAAATCCATTTCATGCGTCAAAAGCAGGTTTAACTTTAGTTTTGAGGTGTACAAGTCGATTCAGGTCATTACCTCCCTGACATGAGTCCATTACTTTGTGATGAAGTGATGTGTTCTGTCATTTATTACTGGTGTCCCCCGCCGTGATGTTGCTGGAATATTGCTAAAAGCGGCGTAAAACCAAAATTCAGTCAGTCAGTCTGTCATTTATTAACCAAATTCAGACTGGTATATAATATTCAACGTCATTCAATCTTTGCTCCGTTACGCGGGAAGTGACGTCATAGACGGCTCCGCATAGTTACGCCTTCATTGTCAGCGCATCGCCGCCTTGGTCGGACGTCTTGTTGCTGCCGCTGTTGTTCCACGTCGTTTTAGGCGCTGTCATATCACCTGATCGAAGCAAGGTAGGTGAAACGTTTCGTAATATGTGTAATGCCAGATTGTAAACGATTCAGGTTATTATTACGTAAGCTATAGCAAATTTTATCTCTCGTTTACACTTGCAATCGGGGATTCGAACCCGTCCCCAGCCGTGGTGAACAAACCCATTTGACCATTTACCAGCAAATGGTACAAGACAACTTCAATAATACTTAAACCCGGAATTTTCAGACACTGATTTGATACAAAAGTTTCTAAGGTTAATATGGGACATCAATGTGCTGCTGATAAAGACGGTTAATCTACTTCTCCCGTGATACACCCCGCATGTAGGGCGGTGGGGTAGCCTAATGGTTAAAGCGTTAGCTCGTCACGCCGAAAGCCCGGTTTCGATTCCCCCACAGGGGTACAATGTGTGATTCCCATTTCTGGTATGACCCCGGGGTGATATTGCTGGAACACCGCTAAAAGCGGCGTAAAACCCAACTAACTCACTCGTTCACTCACTTACTCACTTTCACCCTGCATGTGTCTATTTCGATAGATATTGTCCTTTGTGCACAGTTGGCATAGAAAGTCAGCTTCGTTGCTATTTTGTCCGCGTTACACAACATAAATATAAAGGGGGTGTTTATTTCTCTACAGTGTTCTTAATGTAATTCTTTTGTTTCATGACCCGTGAAGGTCCGGGTTAGAATTGATCTTCAGTAACCCATGCTTGTCGTAAGAGACGACTAACGGGATCGGGTGGTGAGACTCGCTGACTTGGTTGACACATGTCATCGTATCCCAACTGCGTAGATCGATGTTCATGCTGTTGATCCCTGGATTGTCTGGTCCAGACTCGATTATTTATAAACCGCCGCCATATAGCTGGAATATTGCTGAGTGTGGCGTAAAACTAAACTCGCTCACTCACGTTTGTTTCAGTGTTATCCTCCAATGAAAATACTATTCCTAAGTTATACTTTTTGTCCTAACGCACTGAATTTACAAAATAGGAGAATGTGGTATAAATTTGTTTTGCGCTATACGATGCTTACAAAATATATTGTCCTAAACGCTATATCTTCTTGACTGACTGACTGACTGAGTATGGTTTTACGCCGTTTTTAGCAATATTCCAGCAATATCACGGCGGGGGACACCAGAAATGGGCTTCATAAATTGTAACCATGTGGGGAATAGAACCTTGTTCTTCGGCGTGACGAGCGAACGCTTTAACCACTAGGCTACCCCACCGCCCCTATCTAAACATAAATGCATGGACCGGACACCGAAACAGCAAAATGCATCTTGTGTTTACATATCGTATTATAGATCGTATTATATAGTTGTAAAATAGGGCTGTAACGATGCATTGAACTGTCGATGGATTGCAGTTGTTGAGTCTCCGATAGCAATTAATCGATAGTAGACAAGAAAAACTATCGATGCATCGATAGTGTGTGTGACTATCTAGATTTTTGTAATTGACTTCCGTTGATAAATGGGTATTTGGATGGTTATTTATTTTTATTAAAGGTTTGTTTATTGTTTGGGTGCAGATTTGCAGCTTCATTGTTTAAACTGTTTACTTGATATGGGTTTCAAGTTTCTTGTCAGTTATTTAAAGAGACTGAAACTACTTCAACTTTCATGTAAAGTATACATTCATTTGAGAAGTGATTTCATGTGAGACAATTCAAGGAGGTAAAAACCAAAAATATTGCAATAGTATTGCCAGAGTTGGTCGCAATAGACTATCGATATCGTAATAGTTGTTTCCTCCTTAATAGTCACCGTTACTGTAAAATGAGGATATGTTACGAAGAAACGCAGTGTGACGGAAAAGGTTCCCGGGACACGTCTGTGTTCCTGACCAATCAGGACCGCCTCCGTGGTGTAGTGAGTGGTTAGAGCGTCCGCCCGGAGAGCGGAAGG